TCTCTTCTCTTAGATCTTGTGTCCGGCTATATATACCCACTACATGCTTGTCTGAGACACTCACACACTACATATTATTTAAGAGAGACAGGGCTTCACTTTTATAAAAGACAAACACAATGCCCCTTTCTGTGCTTGATCATTAACACTATGCCACTGAGCTAGATCCTCTGGGCTCAACTGTATAACAGCTCTAAATGTACACAGTTACATAACATACACAGTTAAATAACCAAGTATAAACCATTATTTTGTAAACTTCATAGCCCAAGTAGCATCAATGTAGTCCAATTTAGTCTATATTGTATATTAAGAATATATTTTATTGATTTGTATTATAATAATATTAACGTTGTTATTAATAAAAAAATTACATAAATGAATAAATAAATGGTACTTAAATTAACTCTTTTTTTTAATTAATCTAAAATTGTAACTGTTAATTCTTTAATTAAACTTGCATAAACTAAAGTCAGTAAAATAAGAGCCTGTTATTGGTTGAAGTGGTCTGATAATCTGATTATTATGTAGTGCAATGTTTGTAGGTTCTTACTAACAAAAACTTTTGAAGTTAACTAAAACTAAAATATGTTTGTTAACTGAAATTAAGCAGAAATAAACAAAACCTTTTGAAGCTCTAAAATTACTAACTGGAAGCAAATAAAAACTGAACTTAAACTAAACACTGAAATTAGAAATTAAAATCAAAATGAAAACAGCATAAAAAATAAAAGCAAATTCAATGCAAATAGTATATAAATAATACCAACATTAATAATAATAACACTGTAGTGTAGACATTGAGTTGATCATTAAGCACGGTGTGATTTTCCATTTATGAGGAAATGAGGTTATAAACTAACTTGAAAGGAGAAATGAACCTTCAATGTTTGTTCTAGTTGAAGAATCAAACTCACTTTGCTGGCCTTTAGTCTCCCATCATTTTTACTCCAATAGCTTAGCTCACCCTTACTGCACTTATGCCATACCCCAGGAAACATTATTAAAAGTGTTTAATAACGCTGAGCGAGTTTGGATCTGTCTGACTAAGCAGTCAAATCCTGTTCTACCCTTCACACGTGTCCTGATTATTCATGACTCATTAAAACTGCACCTTGTCCGTCTAACAAACAATTTAAAGTATCGACTGTATGTGAGATCGATACAAATAAGTGCCTATGTAGAATATATTTAACTTAATGAACTGCTATCCTTGTGATCTGCATTTCTAAAAGGCCTTTTCCATGCTGGGCTAGAATCAAAATCTCAAAACAAGATGATATCAGTCAGTAGTACAAGCTATCAACTTAACGAACTGGAGTATAATCAGTTATATTTGCTATAACTGCAATTTCTGAAGTCAAGCTCTATGCTTGCCTTATTAGTAGCGGCACTCATTGCTTATGAGAAATAATGCACAACCAGTTCAAATTGAACTGTGATAAAACTGTAAAGCTGATTTCATATCAACAGTCTGCTGAACATATACCGGCAGACGAGAGTAAAAATAGACTCCAGTCCTATTGATTCAGATAAATATAGAGTCTAGAGGGACAGGATGCATGTGGCCATCTTTCATAATTCTACAGCGCTGCAGCAGCTGTAATGAGGAAAGCAGGAGTGTGTTTCTGTAACTTCGGTCACACATCCTGTTTCTGGCAGGCTCTGGTTCTCCCTGAGCCATTCAGCAGAAAATGAAACCCATACTTCATATGCTAAAATAACAGGATTGTGTGTAAATTATGTAACATACTGTGCATCCAACAAATCCAGTGATTAACTAACATCATATTTGCTCTCGTAGAGGTGACCTGCCCCTTTACTAAACATATACAGCAAAACAAATACAGCCTCGGATATGTATATTGTAGTATCCCTTTTAAAATGCTGAATTCCTTTGAAATTCATGACTTTTACAGTAAATGTAAAAGTAAACTCAAGAATCACCTTACTATGAAAAAAGGTGAACTGGGTTTAAGTATTACAAGCTAACCGACATATTTTCAGCATGATGACATGCTAACAATATTATTATCCATATTATTATTTTAAACAATTTGGTTTATTTTACCTTATTTATTGTTATTATTATAATACAAATAATATATATTGTTTAACAATTTTACTTTATTATATAATATTATCAGGCATGTGTGTAGGGGGGTGCTTTGGGGGCTTAAGCCCCTGCAAATATCTGTAAATATATTAGAAACATTACATGAAAATTCAGTGCACAAAAGTGAACTCACATTTGAAGTTCTTGTCAATATAAACATGGATCTTTAAATGTTCTAACAGTTTCAAGGGCTTGTTTGGTCATTCTGTATTTTAAAAAATGCTAAAACTTATTTTTGCTGCTGTATTGAAAATGTAATGTGTTTGTGTGACATGTTATACATGCAGATTATACAATAAAGCCTGCACTTTTAACAATTTTACTTTATTATATAATATTATCAGGCATGTGTGTAGGGGGGTGCTTTGGGGGCTTAAGCCCCTGCAAATATATTAGAAACATTACATGAAAAATCAGTGCACAAAAGTGAACTCACATTTGAAGTTCTTGTCAATATAAACATGGATCTTTAAATGTTCTAACAGTTTCAAGGGCTTGTTTGGTCATTCTGTATTTTAAAAAATGCTAAAACTTATTTTTGCTGCTGTATTGAAAATTTAATGTGTTTGTGTGACATGTTATACATGCAGATTATACAATAAAGTTGTCCGCACACTGGAAAAATACAATCAGACTAAACAAGGTCTATCAAAAATACATTTTATTTATTTAAAAGTGAAAACGTGACAAAAGTGCAAGGTGTCTTAAAAGCCTTCTCACATAAGATTTGCATTTAGCAAACAATGACGATCCAATGAGCCAATCAATTCCCGATGAACAAAATTAAGTCCCACCCTAAATTTTTTTCTTGTTTCACTCAGAATCAGATAGACTTCACAATAGGGAAGAAAAGACTATCGCCAATTCAGTTTCATGCAGACATTAAATCTGAATTAAAACTGTCATTATTTGCTTACTCTCATGCCGTTCCAAACAGTCCCTGCATAAAAAAATCTCGTAAAAAAATAATACATCACAGGTGAGAAATTAGTAAAAAAATCACCCTAAAATTAATAATATTTTTGCAGGGGGTTCAGCTTTAAGACTGGATGGCTGAACAGAAAGAAAAAAATAACAGCAAAGGAAATTTTATATTATAAGCATTGATGTATTACAAAATTATATTTTTTTACTGTCCTAAATCCATACACAAGAGAACAGAAGTCAAAACATCATGGCAAATTATTAAATTTTTTGTGTGTAAACAAGTGAAAAAATACTCAGTGCTATTCAAATGAGAGTTATAATTTAAGATCAACTTCTCTGTTCAAACTACATATGATAAGAGAAACCACAATAATAGACACAAAAATAATAGAATCAATTTACTGTAAAACCTCACTCAAGAGGAAGAACCAAGTGCAAATCGAGAAATAATCATGGCAGCTGATTGTGGCAAAATGTTGACTCATCGACCACATGCAACGCTGCATAAAATCACCATGCAACACAACAATAGCGAGAGGAAACATCCTCTAAAGATTTCCTCTAAAATGACAATGATATTTATGCCTCTAATATTTGCATCGCCAAAAATTATCCACAAAACAAGAGATTTGCCCCAGCAAACACACACTACTGCAGGTGCTGCCAAAACAAGGACGAACTCAGCAAGAGTAGCAACCATGATGAGGAAATGGAGGCCAGTGGCTCTAATACACACTGACAGTGAAGCCAAAGGGGGAAGACACTCATAAAGTCAATGAAAAATTATGATGTGAGGAGATAATGGAGGCTGTAGGCCCAAACAGAATCTGCAAGAGTAGATTCCTGCAGAATTCAAAAACATGCCATTCATCATATGCCACAATTTGTATATATTGTAATGTGTATACAGTATATAATATATTTTACATAATCATTTATACAAAGACTGTTTTTAAGTTAATTTCAATATTCAAAAACAGAAAATCCTCTTAATGACCTCTAACGCTCATAGTTAAGTCTGCTTTTGAACTGTCAGTGCAGGTCTCTGAAAATAGTAAAACCCTTGCAATAAGAGATTTGCTAGAGTAAACCTACACTACAACATGAGCCGTTTCAACAATACAAAGTACTGCTGAGTATATAAACGCAGTGAGAGCAGACGTTTTCTCAGAGCAAACAAATATGAGGAGAAGGCTGATGTAACCCACACTAACAGCACAATCAAAGAGAGGAGGTCATCACCAGTCTGCAATGCATTGATTGATAAATCGTACTATACTGTACAGTGTATTAGTACTGATCACCTAGCATTGATGCATATACAAAATCAACTCTTACATGATTCACTCATGGGTTTATTTAACAGTGTGGCCTTGTATATGTACAACTGCAGCTCTCAACAAAGTGTGTTCATTGGCAGTTTGTTACTGCATTGCCTCTGCTCCCATGAGAGATGACACCTTAACTTCAGTCTCTGGTGATCAGCAGTACAAATTAACGCACAAGCATACAGCTCATCTGAGTGGCTTAAACAGTAGAACTCTACAGCAACATGGTGGATGCTCAGAGCCAAAATGGCTGCCTCTGTTTCATCAACATAAGGTTGGGCTTTGTAAACCAGGCAAGCTCATCCAGTGTAAACAGCCAAACCTAGAGCAATTTAAGATCAACCGTGTCCTCATAACACTATAAGCAAACCTCACCAACCCCATAGGCAAATAAAGACATGCTCTTGTGTCCTCTTACCGATTCACAGGCGCATGTGCGTTAGAGGAGAGCTCAGTCTTTTCTTGTTTGATGTTTGTTGTGATGTACCCACTGCAAAGGTTATGCAAAATACTCAAGCAGCACAGAGACAGACAGTCACAGATAGAAGCCATGCTGAAGAACCACACCCACAGAGGAACATGCCAGCAGGTGCATCTAATTACAGCATCCTGTCTACAGACGTTTGACAGTCTTATGACAAATGCAATGTCAGATGCTTCGCATTTGAACTTTGGCTAAGGACACCTAACAAACCTAAGTATAATGCTTGTTATGTCTTTCTGGTTACCTTACCTTTTAAAGGAACAGTCGACACAAACGAATTGTTGTGTACTCACCCTCATATCATTTCAATTCCATATGCTTTTATTTTATTCAGTGAGGCATTGGAAAATCATTGGACGCTGGAAAAAATGTTACTAACCTTGTGCCGCTCAATAATAATTTGCCTTTCTACATAACAAAATATAAAAATAAAACTAATTCAGAACAGTATATAAATAATACTAAAATAGAATTGCTGGTTATTATGGAGCATCATGGTAAGAGATGTAAAATAATTCTTCAAAATTTACTGTTGTCTCATAGGAAAAAAACAGAAGCATACTGGTGTGGAAATTCATGAGGATGAGTAAATAAATAATGATTTTTAATTTAAAATTACATTTAACTGTTGAATTTGAATTTACTTTAGTGAAATGTTGGCTGCTTGATCCATGCAGGGAATTTAAAATACATTCAGCTTTTTAAATCTGACAGCAATAGTGTCACACAATCAGATACTAACAACATGTATTCAAATTGCAGATGTATTATCACCCTGAAAACATCCCATGATACATCACTGCCAACAACATCATGATACAAGTGCTGGGGAAAACAACAAAGTGCCACACAAACACTTCTCATCTTCTCAGCACATGACACAAGAGCAACTTACAATTTAGCCCCTCACAGCAAACAGTGAACCTGAAGAAACTTTCCATTTCCTCTAAAGGGATCTTCACCCAGCTCTTGCAGAGGTGCGTCCCAGTCTCCTCCGTCAGGATCATTTCACCTCCTTCACTTGGTCTCAATCTGCCCTGCTCTTCTTACCTTCCTCAATCATTCTCCCTTTTGCTGTCACATCCTGTCTGTCCTCGCATTGCAAATATTCACTCCCTGAATGATCACAATCTGTCTCTCGCTCTCTGACGCTCTATCTTTCTCTCTCAGGTGTGAGTGCTGCAGTTAGGAACGTGACGCTGTTTCTCAGTCACGCCCATCTGAGATGCACAACAAAGCTGCTCACTCGAACACAAACACATTACACATCTATCTCTTATCTCACCTGTGATTTCAGGCACAAGCATTTATCATCAGATTTTCAAACACATGCACAAAAGAAGAATAGTTTATGTTATTCTTTCGGTAAACATAATGGAGTTCTCAATTATGCTTCATTATGTATTATTTTGAAAAAAAGAGAAAGAAATAAACAAATGGGACTATTTACAAAGTTTCTGTAGCTCAATTGGTTAAGAATGGTGCAGGGATTGGAGTTCCAGGAAACAAACAAACTGGTATAATGTATACTCTAAATGGATAAATGAAAAACTATTAAATAATAATAATAAAAAAACTAAAAAGAATATTTTGCAATAATTAAACATGTGGATTGTTACTTTGAAATGATTTGCAAAATTTGAGAATTTATTATAGGGGTATTTTATAATATCTGAGAAACACTAAGACTCAGTAGTTTGTCTCAATTTGATATTTTTCAAATATTAACAAAACAAATGAATAAACAATTAAGATCGTAAAAAAATAATACATCACAGGTGAGAAATTAGTAAAAAAATCACCCTAAAATTAATAATATTTTTGCAGGGGGTTCAGCTTTAAGACTGGATGGCTGAACAGAAAGAAAAAAATAACAGCAAAGGAAATTTTATATTATAAGCATTGATGTATTACAAAATTATATTTTTTTACTGTCCTAAATCCATACACAAGAGAACAGAAGTCAAAACATCATGGCAAATTATTAAATTTTTTGTGTGTAAACAAGTGAAAAAATACTCAGTGCTATTCAAATGAGAGTTATAATTTAAGATCAACTTCTCTGTTCAAACTACATATGATAAGAGAAACCACAATAATAGACACAAAAATAATAGAATCAATTTACTGTAAAACCTCACTCAAGAGGAAGAACCAAGTGCAAATCGAGAAATAATCATGGCAGCTGATTGTGGCAAAATGTTGACTCATCGACCACATGCAACGCTGCATAAAATCACCATGCAACACAACAATAGCGAGAGGAAACATCCTCTAAAGATTTCCTCTAAAATGACAATGATATTTATGCCTCTAATATTTGCATCGCCAAAAATTATCCACAAAACAAGAGATTTGCCCCAGCAAACACACACTACTGCAGGTGCTGCCAAAACAAGGACGAACTCAGCAAGAGTAGCAACCATGATGAGGAAATGGAGGCCAGTGGCTCTAATACACACTGACAGTGAAGCCAAAGGGGGAAGACACTCATAAAGTCAATGAAAAATTATGATGTGAGGAGATAATGGAGGCTGTAGGCCCAAACAGAATCTGCAAGAGTAGATTCCTGCAGAATTCAAAAACATGCCATTCATCATATGCCACAATTTGTATATATTGTAATGTGTATACAGTATATAATATATTTTACATAATCATTTATACAAAGACTGTTTTTAAGTTAATTTCAATATTCAAAAACAGAAAATCCTCTTAATGACCTCTAACGCTCATAGTTAAGTCTGCTTTTGAACTGTCAGTGCAGGTCTCTGAAAATAGTAAAACCCTTGCAATAAGAGATTTGCTAGAGTAAACCTACACTACAACATGAGCCGTTTCAACAATACAAAGTACTGCTGAGTATATAAACGCAGTGAGAGCAGACGTTTTCTCAGAGCAAACAAATATGAGGAGAAGGCTGATGTAACCCACACTAACAGCACAATCAAAGAGAGGAGGTCATCACCAGTCTGCAATGCATTGATTGATAAATCGTACTATACTGTACAGTGTATTAGTACTGATCACCTAGCATGGATGCATATACAAAATCAACTCTTACATGATTCACTCATGGGTTTATTTAACAGTGTGGCCTTGTATATGTACAACTGCAGCTCTCAACAAAGTGTGTTCATTGGCAGTTTGTTACTGCATTGCCTCTGCTCCCATGAGAGATGACACCTTAACTCCAGTCTCTGGTGATCAGCAGTACAAATTAACGCACAAGCATACAGCTCATCTGAGTGGCTTAAACAGTAGAACTCTACAGCAACATGGTGGATGCTCAGAGCCAAAATGGCTGCCTCTGTTTCATCAACATAAGGTTGGGCTTTGTAAACCAGGCAAGCTCATCCAGTGTAAACAGCCAAACCTAGAGCAATTTAAGATCAACCGTGTCCTCATAACACTATAAGCAAACCTCACCAACCCCATAGGCAAATAAAGACATGCTCTTGTGTCCTCTTACCGATTCACAGGCGCATGTGCGTTAGAGGAGAGCTCAGTCTTTTCTTGTTTGATGTTTGTTGTGATGTACCCACTGCAAAGGTTATGCAAAATACTCAAGCAGCACAGAGACAGACAGTCACAGATAGAAGCCATGCTGAAGAACCACACCCACAGAGGAACATGCCAGCAGGTGCATCTAATTACAGCATCCTGTCTACAGACGTTTGACAGTCTTATGACAAATGCAATGTCAGATGCTTCGCATTTGAACTTTGGCTAAGGACACCTAACAAACCTAAGTATAATGCTTGTTATGTCTTTCTGGTTACCTTACCTTTTAAAGGAACAGTCGACACAAACGAATTGTTGTGTACTCACCCTCATATCATTTCAATTCCATATGCTTTTATTTTATTCAGTGAGGCATTGGAAAATCATTGGACGCTGGAAAAAATGTTACTAACCTTGTGCCGCTCAATAATAATTTGCCTTTCTACATAACAAAATATAAAAATAAAACTAATTCAGAACAGTATATAAATAATACTAAAATAGAATTGCTGGTTATTATGGAGCATCATGGTAAGAGATGTAAAATAATTCTTCAAAATTTACTGTTGTCTCATAGGAAAAAAACAGAAGCATACTGGTGTGGAAATTCATGAGGATGAGTAAATAAATAATGATTTTTAATTTAAAATTACATTTAACTGTTGAATTTGAATTTACTTTAGTGAAATGTTGGCTGCTTGATCCATGCAGGGAATTTAAAATACATTCAGCTTTTTAAATCTGACAGCAATAGTGTCACACAATCAGATACTAACAACATGTATTCAAATTGCAGATGTATTATCACCCTGAAAACATCCCATGATACATCACTGCCAACAACATCATGATACAAGTGCTGGGGAAAACAACAAAGTGCCACACAAACACTTCTCATCTTCTCAGCACATGACACAAGAGCAACTTACAATTTAGCCCCTCACAGCAAACAGTGAACCTGAAGAAACTTTCCATTTCCTCTAAAGGGATCTTCACCCAGCTCTTGCAGAGGTGCGTCCCAGTCTCCTCCGTCAGGATCATTTCACCTCCTTCACTTGGTCTCAATCTGCCCTGCTCTTCTTACCTTCCTCAATCATTCTCCCTTTTGCTGTCACATCCTGTCTGTCCTCGCATTGCAAATATTCACTCCCTGAATGATCACAATCTGTCTCTCGCTCTCTGACGCTCTATCTTTCTCTCTCAGGTGTGAGTGCTGCAGTTAGGAACGTGACGCTGTTTCTCAGTCACGCCCATCTGAGATGCACAACAAAGCTGCTCACTCGAACACAAACACATTACACATCTATCTCTTATCTCACCTGTGATTTCAGGCACAAGCATTTATCATCAGATTTTCAAACACATGCACAAAAGAAGAATAGTTTATGTTATTCTTTCGGTAAACATAATGGAGTTCTCAATTATGCTTCATTATGTATTATTTTGAAAAAAAGAGAAAGAAATAAACAAATGGGACTATTTACAAAGTTTCTGTAGCTCAATTGGTTAAGAATGGTGCAGGGATTGGAGTTCCAGGAAACAAACAAACTGGTATAATGTATACTCTAAATGGATAAATGAAAAACTATTAAATAATAATAATAAAAAAACTAAAAAGAATATTTTGCAATAATTAAACATGTGGATTGTTACTTTGAAATGATTTGCAAAATTTGAGAATTTATTATAGGGGTATTTTATAATATCTGAGAAACACTAAGACTCAGTAGTTTGTCTCAATTTGATATTTTTCAAATATTAACAAAACAAATGAATAAACAATTAAGATAGTATAGACATCTAATTTTTTATTTTTCTTATGTTGTTAAATTAATATTTATTGCATTGTTTTAGTGTCACAGGTTTTTGTGCACCTATTAATTTGAGCTTCTGATTAACTCCTTACCATCCGTTTAAGGTGGTTGTCAGTATGTTTTAAAGTAAAATTATTATTACAATTATTTCAGTTCCTAAAACACTGAAATTAAATGTACAGTAAAAAACATATCTGTAAAGTTTAAAATGTTGCAGCTATATTTTTACAGTAAACATCTGGCAAACACGGCTGCTGTTTTACTATATATTTAAAAAATGTATGATCCACTGTCATATTTACAATTTAATTTTGTAACATTAATTGTTATAGTTATTTTACATATTATTTAAGATTTTTGCATATAGAGTTATACATGGAAATTTCTGCATGTCAGAGACTTCTCACATAGTCTCAAAGCTCAGTTCAAGATCTCAAAGTTTATCCAAACACATTTACCTTGTTGCAGAGTCTGCGTGTACCTGGTTTGTGTCCTCCCAGGTTTATGGATGAAACAGCACACTGTTTCCATTTCTGATTATCAGGATTTACTTCTCACAGCAAACACAGACGTAAATGGATCCAGCACCGCTTCACCACTCTAACCGCTTGTCCATTATACTTTGACCTCACACAAACCGCTGCAGGTGTAGTTATTAACCATTACCAGACACCATTACAACATACTGGAGAACTCCACGTGGCCATGACTTATATCAAATCTAGATATCAAACTCAAAATATATATTACACACTAAGTATGAGTAACAGAGTATTCATAGTAGACTAAAACTAAAACTTTTTTTTTTACTTCAAATTAAATAAACTTTAACTAAAATAAAATAAAATATAAAAAAGTAATTTTATTTCAGCTAGTTGCCAAGGCAATATTTCTCATTTTCATCTAGTTTAACTTGATGTACTAAAATAGGCTAAGTCAAATTATATTCACCAATTCATAAAAACAGAAACTTTTTAAAATAACAAAAAAACACAACAAAAGTACTAAAACTTTACAATTAAAATGAAATCAGGAAATATAAACAGTATTTCAATGATTAAAAAAAACCCACTGATGAGCGATAGTAACAGTGATGCTTGCCTTAAAAAATGCTACACGCAGACAGTCAAGGAACAATCTGGCTAGAAGCGGCGTATAAACATCATATTCTAATAATAAAAGACTTTGAAAACTTCATGCCAACGCTGGGCCGAGATCAGCCTAAAAAGATAGTCTGCATATGACAGATAATGAAGTCCAAAATAGCTTGTCTGCATATTGCAGATACAGAACAAAAGAGTGTGACAACATCACAAGGATGCTGGGAGTCGTCTCATATTAAACACACAGAAAGTCAAACATCAAAGAGCAAATACACACACAAACACACTCCGACCTAAGCGGCATCCTGTTACAAGCGAGAAACAGACACAGAGCGGCTTAAGATCAGAGATTTACTCACATTTCAGGACGTCTGACATCTGCTCTCCAGTACAGATACCACCACAAGCTGTCCTTGCAGTGCCTTGTTTTTGAGTATGCGTGTATTCCCTAGTTTGTCCGCTGTGGACTACGCAAAGCAAAGCAAAGCAAAGCAATTGTTCAGTTTGTTACGGGCGTATATGTGTGTGAATATCTTTTTTGAGAAGTTGAGATGATACGCTATTTGCCCATGTCTATCAGTCGCTCATGCCATGTGTGTTCCCTAAATATACCAGTCTAGCTCTGTGCTGAGATGCACTGGTTAACTGTGGAAAACAAAACTTTTAGCGCAAAGTGTCTGAGTGAGAGAGAGAAAGAGGATGTGTGTCAGTGCGATCCGGCCAATGGGCCATACACAAGCATCTCAATGATGTGAGAGAAATCCCACGAGGAAACCACACACACACACAAACAAATGCACAAACATTTACTTAAATTGGCCCTAAAAATTATCTGAACACCCAAGAATTTAAGAATTTAATTTCAACAGATAACGTTTTGGGGCCACAGCATGTTCAAGGAATAGTTCCATCCATTCCATTCTTTATTTAAGGCCTGTTCTCGAGAACAATAACTATAAAGATAACTATTTTAGCGTCCACACCAATGGATAATGTTCTGTTTATAATGTTCTGTCGTCTGCTGCTTTAAATGCTTAAGCTCTTTAAAGTCAGGTGGACTTTGATTGGCTATTAATGTCTTTATTGTTTATTAGTTGGAAAAAATTATTTTATAAGTGATTCCAATTCTAATTCCATAGAATTATAACCATATTAAAACTTTATCTTTTCAGTTATAGTTGTCCGGCTTGGTGTGAACGGGCATTTACCCTGATGTCATACCATGCTTGTATATACTTTTCCTTCAAAATGAGATATTTTAAAGAATGTGTGGGTCAATCTTTTCTATGCATTTACAAAATACAAAAAAAACTGAGACTGGAGTTTTCAGACCAAAGACACCATGAAAGTATGATATGTATAAGTATCATAAAGTCCACATGACTTGTGCACTATTTTATTGTCCTTCAAGACAAGACAAATATCCTAAATTTAAGCAATTTTGGTAATTTTATGGTACTTTTGCATTCAGTTCTCATTTTTTTCAAACTGCATGAAAAAGATCAACTGGTACTACATTCTTCAAAATGTTGCAGTTCCTCAGAAGAAGTAAAGTCATATGAGTTTGGGATAACTTGAGGGTAAATAAATGTTGTCAGAAGTTTGATTTTTGGTTGAACTATTCCTTTAACCGCTCACAAAGTGTCCTAAAACTGAATGACTCAGAATCTAACAGAGGCAGTCAGCAATGTTCATCCTGTTTCCTCAGCAAAACCATCTGAAAGCAACTCCACCACACACACACACACACAGATATTCTGGTCTCTCACCGTTCCAGTCCCTCCAGGAGCTCTTGCGGCTGAAGGTTGTGAAAGGAGAGAAGGGGGCCCCCTGTAAGACCGTAGCCGATAGGTTGTAGAGGAGCTGGGTCAGTCGGGACAGGATCCGCTGTGGGGCGTCCTGGCCCTCCCGAAGAAACTCATGCAGAGACATTTAAACTGGTTCCCACATGTACCTAAACCAGTCTTGACTGGCCTCGGCTCGACCTGATGTCTCGGAACCAGCCCAAAACCGATCCGGATTTATCCACATTCGGTCCAGACCGATGCTAAAACAGTCCTGACCGCACCAGGGCAATCTGAACCAAGCAAAACCAATGAAATCCCAAGCCAGGATGAAATGGTCATTCTCTGATCCAAGAGAATGCTGGGAAGACTACAGCAGCCCAGTCCTGGTCTCAGAGGGCTTCCGCTGTCAGATGGGACCCGCAGAGAGAGGCTGCATGCAGACGCATCTCGGACCTCCTGTTTGCAAGGAAACAACCCCGGCATTCATGCACGCTGTCGCAATAAACACACACGTATTCTTGCAGAGGAGAGAAGAAGAGTGGAGGAGAGGGGAGGGAGAGTTTTAGCACAAATCCCCTTCTGCTCTGCTAATTACACACACACACACACAATCACAGACACTAATCTCCAGCATTCTTGTGCGCCACTTATGGGCCAAACTGACTAACTTTCTCTAAACAGAACAGAAATTTTACAATATCCTTTTAAATGATGAAGTATCCTAAAACAAAACATGCTCAACAACAAAAAAAAACATTCTAAGAAAGATTGAAAAACATACTAAATATTTAGTATGAAAATATCAAAATGCACAAAGGCATTGAGTTAGGGAATAAACAAACTCAAATAGAAGTCAATGCAAAGTATTTACCATGATAGAAAAACCAATGTATGTGCGTGTGTGTGATGAGGAGTCAGATGCAGAGAGATGAAGAGAAGGATAAGCCATCTTAAGGTTAGTGTGGAGCACCTGCACACCTATTACAGTCACCTACATTCACCCAAATAAACCAGAGCACAGAATGCAGGGATACATACACTAAATAATGCATGGGACTACAACTAGCAAGCTTCTTTAAGTGGGTTTGTATAATTCATACAGTATATGCAATTAAATGACCATATATAAAATACAGCCTTTCATTAACTAGGCTATTTTATCATGCACTTTTAAAAAAAATATTTGCATGTGAATAGCTCTACAGAGACCTAATTGTCCTGGTTAGACCTTGCAATGCCCTAGCTAATACAACACATTATTTTGCAAGGTGCTTATATTTTCAAATGAAGCTTACACATACAGTTCATAACTACCATATATGACAGGTCACAGTTATTCGTTATCCGAAAGAAGTTCTGTCTCTCTCGTTCTCTCTCACACACAGTCACTCTCTGTTTCTCTCTCTGCTCTGAATCTCTCCCTGTTTCACCCTTGGCACTGTCGTCTTCAGAGAACACAGATAAAAGAGGAGAAAGAGAGAGAAACTGCCTGCCAAGGTTTGGGCAAAGGCCTTCACAGCATGTAATTTAGCCCTCTAGTTCTCATCCTATTACCACGGTGGAAGCAACCCTACAGAAGAAAACAGTCTCCTCTTGAAAGACCGCAGAACTCGTTTCCACAGCAACCCACAGACACAGTACATTATTTAGAGCCGAATTATAATAATCTGTGCTAAACAGAGGTAAAAGTGCATAAAACTATCATAAAACGCATAACAAATTTGCTATTTGTATCAGTATTGTATTATACTCTTCTGCTACTGGATATCCTGAGCTGAGACTTTTTAGAGCTTTCCAAAAATAATGTCAGTGGTAAAACAGTACTATAACAACTAGACAGATAAAGTTGACATACATGACAAAGCCTGTCCTTTTCAGACCCAATTACACCTCATAAGATTCCTAAGAAACCGCAGCAGACCACGTTTCTAGACATTGCAAGTTTCCAATAGCATTTCTTAACATTAGCATGTAATGTTTCAATGTGCTGCTAGCATGTCTCTAGCATATTTTAGCACATATTAAACATGTTGCTAGCATGTTTTAGCATGTCTATAGCATGTAGGGGAGCGCGAGGGGTTAGTTGCAACACACGTGGTTTAAATATTTCCACACATGTCAGCATAACCAAATTTACGGTATTTACTATTTGCAATATCAACACCATATAGAGGAAAAAAAGTGTGCCAAAATTCAAAAATCTTTTGAAGATATCGCTGAATATTTATTTTACCCTAGCAAAAGTATTTTTCTAACTGAAGTACATTTTTCATCTCAGTTTTCAGTATTAATTTAAAATGAGACACATTGACTTTTATTTTAATCTCTAATCTGTTACTTATCAATATAGATTTGCTAACTAGTAACGCAAACTATTTTTAGCACAATGCTATTCTATGACATTAGCAATGTAATTTACACTATTTACTTTTATGAATTTTAATGAGAAACCCTGAGAAACAGGTGAATAAAGACTGACAGTCAATCTTTAATTTTCAGAAATTATAAAAAAAAAAGTAAAGCATTTTGGCTCGTGAATGTGTTTTTTCATCTATTTGCCCACATTGTTTTAGCTGTGTGTTGCGATTAGGGCCATCTCAATGTGTTCATTGACAAACTTCAAAATTTGATTCTTAACATTTCTTAAAATACGCCATTATTTGAAAAAGTAAAAAAAAAAAAATTTTATTGACAAATAACGTTTTTATTTTATTGACTGAGAACGTCAAAAAGTGGTAGGTAGTGCCCTGCGCTCCTCTAATCCCATCACTAGCACAATGCAAGCAAGATTTAGCATTTTTTTACAGTTTGTTTACACATTTTGTTAATGTTTTAGCACACTGCTAGCATGTTTTAACATGTTGCTAACATGCTTTAACACATTGCTAGCACATTACATAACATGTTGCTAGCATGTTTCTAACATGTTTTATCATGTTGATAGCATGTTTTACAACACTGTTAGCATGAGTTAGCACACAGGATGTTTCAGCGTGTCACTACCCAGATTTAGCATGTTGCTAGCAAGTTTATAATGTAGTTTTGTATTTAGCATACCAAGTCAGAACATCCCTAAGGTCTGTACTGAGTTTGATGGTCATAGCTTTAAAACTCTAGGACAAGATATACTGTTAGAAACTTTGTCTCAAAAAATGATAATAAGCTTGAATAGTTAAGTGGTGGCTTTGTCAAGCAAATAATTATTATAATTATTAGCAATATTTAGGCCTATGTTGCTTTCAATAGAAGATGCATTTGATTCAGTCATGTCACTAAACTGTGTGTTAAAGTAATAGTTTACTCAAAAATTAAACTCCCATATCCAAACTTGTAAAACTTTCTTTCTTTTAAAGAACACAAAAGAAGATATTTTGAAAAATGTCTTTGCTTCTTTTCATAAAGTCAGTGGGGTCCAATTTCTGAATTTTCATTTTTAGAGAAACTATCCCTTTAATGGTCAGATCACTGCAGTTTTTATAAGACCAGTCGTAAAGATTTATCAGGATTGATCATTTATCAAAGATGTATCTTTATTATTATTACCTCTGACTTAGATCTGTGATCACATCTAGCTATCTGGGAGATGTGATAAGCCAGATTTGCACAATAGGTGACATTATGAGTGCAGCCGTTATGTCATGTGTGAGTGTGTGAGTGAGAGATTGTGAACATGAGCAGACAGCTGTAAGCCAGCATTAGCTCTTTACCTAGACAGAGTATTTAACACCCAATAAACACTTGCAGGTTCCGCTTGAAGTTTTTAAGACACATAATGCAGCATACTGTATGAGAGACACAGCCTCAGGTCAACATAGAGGACAAAACTGCTAGCATGGTCACACCAAAACTCACACACATATTCCCAATCTGCATTTCATCAACATCAACACTGATATTGCAGCGTTGTTTCAACTTCTATTTTGTACAGATCTTGTAATAATTTTACAACCATTTTAAGATTTAAGTTTTTTTTAGACACTGAAACAACAGCTGACATACTGTATAATGACAATTTTAACCACATTTCAATTCACAAGCCAGCTGGGTTCTTTTTCTGTGATGGTGGGAACTTTACATTGACTTCTACTGTTTTAATACTGATCATTCTATTTTTCTAAACCTTACCCTTCACACAAATCTTTCTGAATTTTTAGATTCTCATAAATGCACAATCTTGACATTTTCAATTAGTTGGTCCCCACAATGTAGCTAAAATCTGGTTATTTTCTTATTTAAAAAAACACAGCAGGTCATCTGATGCTCATTTCCAGCTCTGCATATGATTTACATATATTTATACCTGATACAAATATATATTTATACATGAATATTTGGGTCTGATTAGACTCAATATACACTACCATTTAAACGTTTAAGGTCGGTATAATTTTCTTAATGCTTTTAAGGTCTCTTATGTTCACAAAGGTAGCATTTATTTGATTAAAAAAACAGTAATATTGTTAAATATTACAAATATTTTCAACTGTCATTACTCCAATCTTCAGTGTCACATGATCTTTCATAAAGCATTTTAATATGCTGATTTTGTGCTTAAAAACATTTCTTATTATTATCAGTTGAAAACAATTATGCTGCTTAATATTTTTAATACTTCCAAATATTTTACTTTAATTATTTAATATTTCTTCTGTCTGTGGTTCACTGCTCAATTCATTTAAAGCAAAATAAAAGTCTGATAAATAGGCATAAATGAGTCATTTATAAAATGAATATTCTGCATACCTGTTCATGCTACCTTGTGTTCTGGAAATCATATCATGGGAAGAAACTAATGATATCTCATTTAGTAGTGCTTCAGCAAATAATTGAGTGTGGGAACATGAGCAGGTTGAGTGTGAGTTCACCACAGTGTAAACAGTAACATGTATCTTTATACACCAGAACGCTAAAGGCCAAAACCTCCAGACTAAAGGATGACCCATTTACAGCCATATAATGTTTTTGAAAGACTGAATGTGAGAAAGGATGTTACTACACTTTGCGTGTTTGCTGTTTCATTGTGCTGGTGTGTGTTTTTAGCTCATTGCCAGTGGCAGACTGCTCTGATGTAGGGACATAGGACAAACTGAACTCCTCAGAGAACGAGAGGAGGAAGACAGCATAAAAACACAGCTAGGGTTACCCACAGTGAGAAAGAGCAAGAGAAGAGGACCTACAGATCAAAATTCCAATTGCAATTCAAAAATAACTTCATAATTCCAATTTCAAATTCAAAATCCAATGTCTAGTTCAAAAGTTTGCTAATTTACTTAATTCCATTTTAGGCTGGCCGCACACTAGACGATTTTCAAATCTTAAACGATTTTAAAACCATGGGAGACCACAGACATGAAGACAGTTCAACCGATTTTTAGCCTTATAATCCTCTGAACGCACACACTAGATGATTCGACCAGACCACGAGACCACACACTTGATGATTGTAGGAACGATTTCACAGTGACACGTGATCTCACGGACACTCGCGAGATCAAACGTGTCTAGAGAAGAA